ACGTCACACCCCCTGTTCCGCACATCCCCTGGCCAAATCTGCCCTCCTCGCTGAGCGGGCCCGCCACGCTCCGAGCCCATTCCCCGAAGGGGCGCGCCCAAGGCCTTCTCGGCCCTTCGCTGAGCACCTGCTATGCGTCAGCCTGGTCTCAGCACCAGCTCTGCAGTGGGAGCCAACCGGGCGTGCTCCTGCCCTCACTCAGCCTCGGTCTGGTTAATCTGGTAACTGTCCCCAAAACATCAACACGCGGCCGTGGCCAGTGCTACGAAGGAGAATGGCCTGGTGTCACGGCAGCGGGTCACAGGGGTATGACCCAGCGCACGTGGAGGAGGGGAGGTGGTCCAGACAGGCTTCTCCGCGGGTGGGAATGGGGGAGCCAGGGTCTAACGAGAGCGACGCTGCCCCCATTAACCCTCTCAACAGCCCTGCGGGACAGGCGCCAGGCCCGGTCCCCAAACACGGACACAACCTGCCCCGTGTCCCAGCACTCTCCGGGCAACCTGTCCCCAGTAAGGGTTTTTTTGTTGGTTTTGTTTTTTTTTAATTAAGATGCAACAATCATCCCACAGCCGGCTTCCCCTCCAGCAATCGGTTAAAATGAAGTCCATACGACTGGATTAGACTTTGAAGGTGCCGATCTAGATAATGAACAGGAGGACGCGGTGTTGACACAGGCCCTGGTGAGCTACATGATTATTTAACAGGCCTCGCTGCTGTCCCGCTGGGATCAAGGAGGTGAACAAGCAGTTGGTGGACGAGCGTCAAGCCGAGAGACAGACTATGGGCACTGGCCCCGCGGGGGACAGGCTCAGTGAGGTCAGGGGCGGCTGACGGGGCGCAAGCGGGCCTAAATGGAGACGGCTGCAGGGGGCGGGGGCGCAGCTCAGGGGCCTGGTCCCGGGGAGCCCTCCGAACTGTGTCTGCGCACCATCGGGCTGACTGCGGCCCGGCTCACGGTGCCTCCCCTGCTCCAGCATCATCCCCGCCTCCTCCCTTCCTGCCCTCATCACAGACACGCGCCTGCCCGGCCCGGCTCGGGGGTCCTGACCTCCAGGAACCTCGCCTGCTCCTGTCCCTCCTCTGGCTGCATCCCGCTGGGCCTGGGCCTGCCCCCTCCCGGTCTCCCCACCCTGGGTTGATACTGACTACCCCAGGTCTGCTCCCCACACTGGACTCTGAGCTCCCTGCGAGCTGAGAGCAGGTGCTACTCGTGTCCGTCGATCCCTGCAGCACCCCACACAGAGGGCCTGGAAATCAGGACACCCCCCTGTCCGTCCACCATGACTATTTACTCAGATCACTGCTATGTAAGCTGGACACCGGGGAAATGAAAATGAACAGGCAGCAATCCTTAGCCTGGGAGACGAGTTGGCGGAGAAAGCAAGTATAGGAACGAATGACAGTTCCCAGGAGCCACGTGTAACAGGACAGAAACTGCAGGGGACAAATGCAGCCCAAAGGAGACAGCCTTCCATCTACCCAGGCGGCCAACACAGAGGTCAAGAGCAGACTCAGAAGTCAGATGCCTGTGCTCGGAACCCAACTCCGCCTCCTTCTAGCTGTGTGACCTTGGGCAAGTCACTTAACCTCTCTGTGCCTCTGTTTCCTCGTCCGTGAAGTGGGAACAATAACAATGCTCATCTCATAGGGTGACTTGAGGGTTAAACGAGTTAATTCATGCAAAATACTTAAAACCCATACCTGATCCCCACCAAGTACTCAAGATGTTTCGGTTATTATTTCCTGGGGGTGGGAGAAAACCAGGCAAAGCCTCTCAGAGTCGACGCGAGGCCGACGTTAACTCACTGTGTCTTCACATCTGGCCCAGAACCCCGCTCACCACACCTGCAGCCACCAACGCACTCCGGGGCCTTCTGGCTTGGAGCACCGAGCAGTTGTATCTCAAATCCCCATCGAGGGTTTTCTCAGGCCTGGGGCAGAGGCGCGCGCCGGGCCCTGGGCGGCTGTGCGAGAGCACGGCAGCCCGGACGGCAGCCGGGTCTCCAGGCTGCGCCCCCAGGCCTGGCTGACCGTGTGCTGGGCACCAACGAGAGCCTCACTAGCTGCGGCCGGACGGAGCTTGCTTCCAGAGCCCCGACGCTGAGGTGGGCAGGCTTCCTCTATTCCAAGCGGCAGCGGAGTGCAGCTTTATTAAAAATGCACGGCGATCACCTCATCGCTGGAGGGTTGTGGGGACCGCATGGCACAGCGCGCCAGCTTTCCGGTCTCCCTGGCTGCAGGGGGGGCGCGTGCTCCCTCTGACCCGCCACCCCTTCTTCCGTCCAGCCTCCTGCACCCGACGCCCCCCTGACACCCCCCGTGGCGTGCAAAGCAGATGAAAGGCCATACTGATCCCTTCTTGAGAGCAGCTGATCCAGAACTAATCTTGAATCATCACGGCCTTGAGCTGCAGCACGGTGGCCGCGTGGCCCCAGGGCCGGTCGTGGCCCCGGGCCTGGGTAGGACTGTGCTGCGGCTGGTGCGCGGCAAGATCGGGTGAGAGATGGCCGGGGCCCGGCCTCACCCGTGTCCTGCCCTCCGTCCAACCGTCCCACCCTCCCAGGACCGCCGTCGGCAGGAGGCGAGGCCCCTGCCAGTGACCCAAGACGATGGCGCGCCCGGGGTGCGGACACGTGCGACACCGACCCAAAGGGAGCTGGATTCTCCAAATAAGCCGTAACGAGGATTTAGGTTAGGAACCTGATTACGGGGATGACTCAGGCTCACTGAACACCTGCTGTGTGCCAGGCCCCGGGGTGAAATAGCCGTTTTCCATAAATGTTCTCACTCGACCCTCTAGAAGTACTGTTAACATCTCACTTTACGGATGAAGCGACTGAGGCCCAGGAAGGCTCGGTGCCTGGTCCAAGGGTGCACAGCTTGGCAGAACAGAGCAGGGCCACCCAGCTGGCCGGCCAGCTGCACACCTCCAAGGGCTTGGGACGCCCAGAGAACCCGGCGTGGGGGCGGGGGGTGTGGCCAGGACAGAGATGGGGCCACTGCCTTTGGTGACGGCCCCCATTCCCTCTCCAGGAAGTCTCAGGGCCCGGGGGAGGGGGGTGGAGAGGGGAGGGGAAGAGATACGTTCTGCTGTGCCGCTCAGGCCCCACTGCTCACACCTTCTCCCCAGCAACCAACAGCCACTGACCCCCCCCCAGGCCTGTGCTTTCTGGGTCCTCAGGACCCTTCCTCAGACAATTCTTCCTCTGAAACACCTCTTCGTTCACATCCTGCCTCCCAATGTCCTCAGCTGCCTCCTCTCTCCCACCCCTGCCCCATTTCCCCTGTTGGCATGAGGAGCAGGTCCCTCTGGCCAACAGGGGACTCGAAGAGCCTACACCTTCTCATCTCATCCTCTCTCTGCTCTTGGCTTCTTCATATCTCTGGGCTCACTTTTCCCACGTAGAGAACAAGGTTGTGTCTCCCCCATCAGTCTGGAGGCCACCATGTGCAAGACTGGGACCCCTCCTCCCTTCCCCAGCTGCCCTCAACCAGGCCCCAGTGCTCAGCTGCCGGCCGAGGGCCCCTCACCACTCTCCTCCGAGAGTCAGAACCTGTACAGGGTTCGAGCAGGGGAGAGCAGAGGCGGCACCCGGGCCTGCTGTGAGGACAGTGCAGGGACACTGGGGGAGGGGCTGCAGGAGGTGAGCCAAAGGGTCCAAGACGGGCCTCATCCTTCCTCCTGCCTGGGGGCTTGAGACCCAGGAGTTTAGGGGACCCCGAAGGCCCTGGGGAGCCAAGTCTCCCTGCTCTCCTCCCTCTCAGAAGGGGGAGGAGGTGAGAGGCCCTTGGAGCAAGTGCAGACAAGCCCCCAGAGCAAATCAGGCGCTGGGAAGGGGGCCTGTGGCTACAACGGCTCAGGGCTCCCCTCCCCGCTCAGGCTTTCCCCCCAGGAAAAGGAAAAAGAACAAGAAATCCAGAGCGGGAGGTAGCAGACTCCTTCCTGCTCACGCCTCCCTGGCCCCTCCCTGGAGTGTCCCTCCCCCTGCGTCCACCCTGCCCCTGGCCAGGCCCAGCTGCACCAGTGAGGTCACAGGTCCTCAGGCTCTGTCCCCAGAGCGGAGCCCAGGAGTCACCTTCAGCCCCCAACCCCCTTCTCCTCTAAAGGACAATTAGAACTCAAAGCCTCAACCCTCTGGTTCTATTCGCCCACAGCTCCCTGGGCCTCAGTCTCCCCCCCTGACCCAGCTCCCATCGCCTGTGATCTTACGACGGCAAGACTCCCGTAGTGCTCTCGCCTGCCTGTCGAGTAGCCAATTTACAGCCGGTCTGTAGAGATGACTGACCAGGCGAGCAAACGGTAATGGTCCCCCCTCACAGAAGCTCGCCCAGGGCATCGGTCTGTTCCGACCCTGAGCCTGAACCCAGACCTCTCTTCTGGGCCCGGTCATCAAGGCCTCATTCCACGCTGATAATCCAGACAAATCAAACGATGGCAAAGCCACACCCAAGTCTCATGCCTGCCACCCAGGATGGGCCCCGGGGTGTGGAGAGACGGGGTGGGCAATGCTGTTGGGCGGCGACAGGCACGGGCCCAGGCTGAGTCCAGACGGAGGCCCCGCGTGGAGGCCCTCATCCCAGGGGCCAAGGCGCAGGCCGTGCTCCGCCCGCAACGGAGCAGGGAGCACCCAGCAGCCTCCAGGTCCACACTATTTAAAGAGCCCAGCCCCCAGGACAGCTGCATCCACACTGGCCTCCCCTCAGCACAGCCAGGCCCCGGGTACAGTGCAAGGCAAGGACCCCAGTTCCAGCCCCACAGGCAGCAGGAGATCACGGCTCAGCCCAGCGGTCGCGACCCTTCCCCTCCAGGCAGCCCATCATCCAGGGATGATGCCGGGGCAGAGGGCAGGGCCCGGCAGCGATTTGGGGGCCCCTCTGCTTCTCAGCAAACCCTCACTGATCCCTGAGACACAGCTGGAACCATGAGAAGGGTCTGCAGGGCTCTGCCCAGCAAGACGGCCCGCGGGCCGGCGGCCTCGAGCCACAGGTAGGGCCAGTACCTGAGTCTGCAAGCTAGTGGCATCTAACACAGTGACCCGAGGCCCACAGCTGGCCCACACGGCATCCTCCAGGCTCAGCAGGGTGCGGACAGGTCCTGGCCCCACAGTCAGGCACACGGGAGGGCTCTCCAGGTCCCAGGGGACACCACCTGCAGGGAGAGGGAAAAAGCAGGTCAGGAGCGGGGAGGGGCACTCCTCAACCCTTGGGAACGGATGGGAACCCTCCGCAGAGGGAGCACCTGCTCGACCCTCTCTGTGGCCCTTCTCCCTCCTCCAGAGGGTCAGGGCCTCCGTTGTGCCCCACCCCCTCTGGGGGCTGAACCCCCCCGTTCGCCCTCCTGCTCCCCTCCTTTATCTTTCCCGCTTGAATTGCCTCCCTCTCTCCCTTTCCCTCTCTCTTCTGTTCATCCCACGCACACTTGGTGAGCGCCAGCTCGGTGCCAGGCCACGTGCTGCGCCCTGGCAAGAGCGCAGACCCTGCCCTCAAAGAACCCCCCTGCTGGCTGGAGAAGCCAAGGGGCCGGTTGATCAGCAGTCCCCATACAAGGTGACAGGCACGAGTGACCGGGCACGCACAGCGGGCCTTGAGGACTTCGAGATAAAGGGGAAAATTCGGCAGGAGGTTTCCCAGCATCGGCAGCATCCGCACAGTCCTGCCAAGAAGGCCGCACAGCATGGTGGGAAGTGCCTTGACCCATCTCTCCCCCCCCCCCCTCAGGGCCTCAGTTTCCCTATCTGTAAAACGGGGCAACCACCAACGTGGTCTCCGAGGACTTTTTCTACACGTTTCTGGCCGACTCTTGCCATCTCTGAGACCTTGCTGTCTCCAGGACACTCTGTCACCTGTACCAAGAGCTCTGATGACCTTCCTCCTCCAGAGATGCCTCCACCTCCGGGTACAGAAGAGGAAGCCTGAGGGGCAATTAGTCCACAGTCCACCACCCCTGGAGACGGAACAGAACAAGAGACCTGACCCGGCTCTGGACACGATTCTCCCCTGCCCACCCCAGGGGTGCTCGGCCGACCCGAGAACATGCCTGGAATATCCCCGGGTGTGTGAGACAGGTGTTTCTCTGAGGTCACACTCAAGGCCACACGGAACCCCCGGGGCCACCCTGTCTTGCCAGCATACCGGGTGAGAAGTGGGGGGCGTTGAGAGGGAATCTGGGGCACACTATGGAGACAGGCGGCAGTGGCTGGGGCCTGGGAAGAGGGCAGAGGCCGCTGCTGGCGTGCCAGGGCCCGGCCGCCCTCACAGCCCCCCCCCACCGGGTCCCCGTCGTAGCCCTTCCCTCCGAGCCAGCTGCTGGGGGTCAGGGCGGGGCATGACGGGGCACAGCTGTCTGCAGGGCTGGGGGGGCCACCGGGGCACCCGGTGGAAGTCGCCGCTTGGGTGCATCGGGAGGAGCCCTCGGAGGACAGACCAGATGCCCTACCACCCCCGACCCCCAGCTTTCCCTCTTCCTCTGCCCCTCCCCCACCCGTAAAATGGGGTCTCCTCTCGCCCCTGTGTCCCACTGACAGCTGGCAGACTCCCGGGTCAGCTAGGAGGCGGGCGATAGGGTCTTTCCAGCCCATGAACATGAACACACGGGGAGTAGGCTGAGCCAGAACCCTGGCCGCAGCCCCCAACCTTCTGCAAGACGTTGGACAGGGGACTTCACCTCTCGGAGCCTCATCTGTAAAATGGGCGTGACAGGCGCGCCTGGGTGGCGCAGTCGGTTAAGCGTCCGACTTCAGCCAGGTCACGATCTCGCGGTCCGTGAGTTCGAGCCCCGCGTCGGGCTCTGGGCTGACGGCTCAGAGCCTGGAGCCTGTTTCCGATTCTGTGTCTCCCTCTCTCTCTGCCCCTGCCCCGTTCATGCTCTGTCTCTCTCTGTCTCAAAAATAAATAAACGTTGAAAAAAAAAAAAAATGAGCGTGACAGGCGCGCCTGCACGTCGCAGAATCAGAGGAGACACGCAGAACACAGCACGGGGGTGGCACCCAGTCAGGAACACTGACAGCTTTGACCTGCCAGGTCGGCCCTGCCAGGCGCTCTGCTCGTGAGTCGTTTCCTGAACTCCTGGCAAGCCGGTGTGGAAGGCGCTATTCTTATCCCGGTTTTACGCCGAGAAAACGGACACAGAGAATTTAAATCACTGGCCCAAGCGACGCGGCCAGAAAGCCTGCAGTTGCCCGCTAGCTCTTGTCGGGTGTCATTTGCTACAAAACAGCAGTGTGCAGAAGCAGGTGTGGACTCCCCCTGACTGACGTGACAGCAGAGACCCAGACAGCTGAGAGGTTGTGCAAAGCCACCCGAAGGGTGACGGGCCAAGCAGGGCTTGAACTCCGCTCGCTGATCCTGGCCTCCTTCCCCAACCCTGGCGCCCTCTCGGCTTCCCAGAGTTTCCGACGGGCTCTGGGATCAGGACTGGGGTCTAGGATGGTGAGTGACCACACGGTGGCCGGGCCTCCACAAGGGATGCTGACCCCCTGGCCCAGACACCAGAACCACAAACTGCAAGGCTTCTGGCGCCCCCCAGTGGCCAGAGGTGAGTAGTGCGTGCGTGTGGCAGAACTATGGCTCAGGCGGGGCTGTGACCTCTTGGGGGGTGGGGGGAGAGGGGTTGGTGAGCAGGCAGGGAGCAGCTGGGGATGCTGGGACCACACGTGAAAACAAGGGAGCGGGGGCTCTGCCCCGTGGGCACACTGGTGAACTGTCTACCCTGTGCTTTTCTAGCACAGAGCACAGTCATGGCTGCCTGGGGTGGGGGGTGGGGTCTGAGCCCTGAGGGCCACATCACTCTGACCCCTCCTCCAGAAACCCCCCAAGGCCTGACTCCAGGACAAAACGATAAACTGTGGCAAAATTTAATAAGATGTTTGTCTATCAAAAAGGGCACCGGACAGGCTCCAACAGGCTCTAACGAGCTGAGCCTCAGTTTCCCCGAGTGCACCACAAGAGGCCAGAGCTCAAGGGCTCCTCCCAGCCCTCCCGAGCCACAACCTTAGGATTTTAAATGCAGTCACTGTGAGCTCGGGGCAGGGCTGACCCCGGTCCCCTCCGTGCCCTGCAGCGGCTCTGGGTAAGCCCGCACACGTCCTGGCACACGCGTGCACACTCACATGCACACGCCAGCCCCGAGTGACAGCCTATCCGTCTGGGCCCAGGACCGGCTCTCACGCCAGATGAAGGGAGATGTCTCAGCAAAGGCACCTTCAGGAGGCAGCTGGTCTCCCTCAGGGATGCTCACCCAGCTGGAGTCACAGGTCAGGACACAGAGGGAACGTCCTCGGGGCCGAGAAAGGCCCAAAGGGCAGCCTGAGCCCAGCAATAACGACAGTGACAACGATGGTGACAGGAGCTAACAGGCACCCGTCCCGATACTTCCCGGGCTCCATCTGGGCACCTGACTCATCACATGGGGACTTCACATCCACTCTGTGTGCAGCTGCCTTCACACCCATTTTACAGGTGGGGAAACCGCGGCTCAGAGAAGGGAGGCAATAGGCCCAACCTCTCACAGCTGGGACTCCATCCCAGGCAGCCTGACTCTTCAGTCCATCCCCTTACACATTCCATCATCTGCCTCCTTGAGGGGGTGGCCCTGGCCCTCGTCCCCAGCACCTAACCAGGGACAGCCCCATACCCATACCCCTCCTCTGCCTGCTCAGAGATGGGGTGACAGAGGGTACCTGGAGGTAGCTCCGCTCAAACACAGGACTGGGCAGGGACAGCAGCCACCTGAGTCATCTCTGGGTCCCAGTGCCCTGCTCAGGGCCTCGCACCTCATGGGCACTGAATATGTACTTGTTGAGTGAATGGAAGAACGAATGAATGAATGAATGTGTGAGTGAATGAATGAATGAATGAATGAGTGAGTGAGTGAGTGAATGAATGCACACATGTATGCAGAGGCTCCCGGGGAGCAGCAGAATGACTGCCGTGACCACACTGCTCTTGGCCTTGGACTCCAAGGCCCCTCCAGCTCTGCCGTTACAGAGGGAACTCCGTGTGGCCTGGCGGCCTTGGAACCCTGTCATGTCTCAGCCGCTGCTCCCGCAGGTCCCAGGACTTGGGCCAGTCCCCCGTTGGCTCTGCACCTCTTCATTAATATTTCTGGGCCTTCCCTTCTGCAATGAGCCAGATCACGGGCCGGAAATCCCCGTTTTACCAGGTCTCGGTCTCAGCCAAACCCAGGCAGGACGGTAAGCCTGACTACAAACACGAATATTCCGTCCGGCACTGGCTCCGAGCCCACGAAGGGTCTGTGTCCAAATTTCCCCTTTTTATACAGACATCCTTGCACTGGATCAGGAGCCCACTCTACTCTACTGTGATCTCATCCTAACTAATCACATCTGCAACAACCCTACTTCCCAGCAAGGTCACGGTCTCAGGTTCCAGGGACTAGGACTTGAGCCTCTGAATTTGGGGAGGATATAACTCAACCTATGCTAGAAGATGTGGGTCTAACTATTGGCTTTCAGCCCAGAGCTGAACCAGAAAGCCTCCACGCCCGGGGCGCCTGGGTGGCTCAGTCGGTTAAGCGTCCAGCTTCGGCTCAGGTCGTGATCTCAGAGTTGATGAGTTCAAGCCCCACATCGGGCTCCATGCTGGCAGCTCGGAGCCTGAAGCCTCTTCGGATTCCGTGTCTCCCTCTCTCTCTGCCCCTCCCCTGCTTGCACTCCCTCTCTCTCTCTCTCTCTCTCTCAAAAATAAACCAACATTAAAACAATTAAAAAAAGAAAAAGAGGCTCCAAACCCTCATTTTTTCGAGGTGGGAAGGGACTTCCCAAAGGCCCATGGGTGAGCCAAGCATGAACTTAGGTGTCCTCAAGTGGATTATTCACAATTCCCAGACTCTCCAGGCCACCAGGAGCACCAGAGGGGGCTCCACCAGCACAGGGCTGCAGAGATTGGCCCAGGAGCTCTGGGGCTGGGATGGGGTATAGGTATCTGAGGCCTCAGTGAGTCTGGAGGGGGCCCCACAGCTAGGTCATGGGCCAGGACGATGATTCCAGGCCCTGCCACATGCAGCCGAAGTGAAAGGTCATGGGGGGGACCCTCCCCCACCCTACACCGTGAGGCAGGTCCTGAGAGCCCCTCCGCCCGCCCCCCGCCTTCCTGCCTGGACCACCTCTGGAGGATAGCACAGAAAGAATGGGGGAAGGGGGAGGCCGGGCGAGACAAGGCCTCTCCCAGAGGCCTCCCTGGCCAAAGCCAAACCGAAGCCCCAGAGGGTGGGCTCCAGAGAGAAAGAGTGAGCCCAGGCCCACTTGGCCAGCCGGGTGTGACGGCCTCCCAGCCAGCCTCCCTGCCTCCTCTCCGTCTGCCGGCCACAGGGCAGAGTGCTCAGCCTCTTCCAACATTCTATTTCCCATCGACTGAGACAAACCCAAGGCCCACCCTATCAGCCGTCTGCTCCCAGACCCTGCCCCCTGCCACTGCCCCCCTGGTTACTGCCCAGCTTCAGCATCCCATGCCTCGGAGAGGCCTTTGCCCACCAGCCCACCCCATGCCCGGGGGTCAGGCCCTCACGTGCCACCCTGTTTCCCCCCAACGCCCCTCAGCGTGATGTATAACCATAAGCTCCCTACCTGTCCACTTGACCGATTCTGTCTCCTGCTACAGGCTATCTACATTCTCCAGGGTCACACCTGTTTTGCCGGCCGCCATATCTATGGCACATAGCAGGTGCTCAGCGAATACCTGGTGACAAGCGTCTGCAAGGCAGCAAAGCTGGGAGAGCGACTAGCGGATCTCGGCCCCTCCTCCCGGCCCGATGGCCTCCAGTTCCGCTCGGGGAAGCCCAAACCCCCTTACGTCTGCAGAGGGCCCTGGCCCTCGCAAGGGGACTTGGGCTCGGGCTCACCCACGGCACTTTGGGAAGTCCCTTCCCACCTGGAAAATGAGGGTGTGGAGTCCAGTGGTCCCCAGTGGCCTTTCTGGTTCTGACAAAGCACCAGGCTCTAACCCTGGGCTGAAAGCCAACGGTTAGACCCCAGGCCCCCGTTATGGGTGTTATGTCCCCCGCAAAAATTCGTAAGTTCACGTCCTCAACCCCAGGACTTCAGAATGCGACCTTATTTAGAAGTAGGGGTGTCACGGATACAACTGATTAAGATGAGGTCATACTGGAGTAAGGTGGGCCCCTAATCTAATAGGACACAGGGGAGGCAGCCATGGGAGGGCAGGTCCTGGGGCCAGAAGCCAAGGGACCTGGAACAGACCCTTCCCTCCCGGCCCTCGGAAGGAATCGACCCTGCCAGCACACTGGTCTTGGACTGCTGGCCCCCAGAGCAGGAGGTGGACAGTTTGTGGTGTCTCGTTAAGGTGGCCCCAGCGATCTCACCCCCCCCCACCTCCTCCCACCCCCATGCCCAAACTGGTAAGTCAGGAACCAGGAGGCAAAGGGCCAAGGGCAACCCCTAGTGGGGACCCGGGCGGCCAGGGCAGGGCAGGGCTCGCGGGATTCAGCAGGAGCCACAGGGTACAGGTCCCCTTGGAACCCCCCATTTAGATCTCCAAAAATCAGGGTCCACGTTTACACTCTCACACATGCAACGTCTGTCGGTGAGAGGGATTTTTTTTTTCCCTCCCTCTTCCCCCTTTAATTAAAAACTATAAATGCCTTATCAAAAGCTAATTAAAAATACCAACACAGTGCCAAGTGGCAAAAACACAGCTCCGTGCAAATATCCGTTTATATCCTTGCAACAGGCAGTGATGACGCAGCAATTAGAGGCTCTCTCAGGAGGGAGGGGAGGGAGGAGGAGAGAGGGAGGGGGAGAGAGAGAAGAGGAGGGGAGGGGAGGGGGAGGGGAGAGAAGAGGGAGGGAGGGGAGGGGAGGAGAGAGGAAAGGGGAGGAGAGAGGGGAGGGAAGGGAGAGGAAGGGGAGAGAGAGAGGAAGAGGGAGGGAGGGGAGAGGAGGAGGGGGAGAGGTCTATGACTGCTGAGCTTCAGACCCATCAGCCCTCTCTGGGCGCCCTGGGGGTGGCTGCCCTCCCACCCCCAGCACATATCTCGGAACCGGGAGCCGAACGAGCCACAAGGGCACGGGGGCCACGGCCTTCTGTGTGGCTGTGCACAACCCACACCCCCTCCCGGACTCCCAGGATCTGCAGTTCTAGGGGCTTGTCGGGAGAATTCAGGTGATGCGCACAAATCAAACACTTCTCTCGTTCCTGGCGCACGGCAGCTCAGACCTGTTAGCCTTGCCCTCCAGACACCATCTGTGCCATCCGTGGCTTGATAACGTGACAGGCGTTCAAATGCTTGACTCCATTTAAGCACTCCCCGTGCCAGGTTGCTTTGCCTGGCCGGGTTGTTTATAACCCACCGGGACCCGTGCACAGCGGGTACAGACATATGCCCATTTCACAGACGAGGAGACCCAGGTGCAAAGAGAAGCCGATCGCCAGCGGACACAGCCATCGACAGGGCAGTGAGGGGACCCCAGACCCCAGAGTCTTTGTGACCCAGAGTCCCTGCTCTTCCCAGAGCCTCCTGCTAATGGGGTGAGCTGCCTGCACGGTAGTGAGCGTCCTGTTCCCGCAGGGACCCCCATGGAATCTCTAACTACCCCCAGACTCCCCGATTTGTGTCTGAGCTGCCTCCTTGGCCTGCCTCCCACGGCCGCTCGCAGGCAGTGCCCGGGGCCGCCCCCCACTGCCCCCAGCACCGCCATCCTCACCACTGGTCCGAGGGTAGGCGGCGACGGTCCCATCCTGCAAACCAGCGAACAGGTGGAAGGGGCTATGCCGCAGGCAGAGCACAGGCTGCAGGCCTGGGCTCCTGCAGGTCGCCAGGCACTGGGTACCCGTGTCCACGCTGCCGTAAACCAGGATGCTGTGGGGAGAGGCCCGAGTGACTCACGGAGTCCCCTCCCCCCACCGCCCCGCAGGCCCTCCCGCGGAGAGGGGTCTGGGGGCTCCCCAGCTCAGCCAGGCCTCCCTGCCATGGCAACAGGCCGTTGTCCCACTCTTTGGGAGCCTGCACTTGGCCGTGGGTGGTTCTTTGGAGGACGGCACGCTCCCCACCCCTGGTGCCAGGGAGAACTAGGTGGGAATCTCGAGAGGCGGCATGATCAAGGTGCCGAGAAGACGGTTTTCAGGGGGCACCTGGGGGGCTCAGTTGGTTAAGTGACCGACTTCGGCTCAGGTCGTGATCGTGCAGTTCGCGGGTTCGAGCCCCACGTGGGGCTCCGTGCTGACAGCTCGGAGCCCGCTTCCGATTCTGTGTCTCCCTCCCTCTCTGCCCCTCCCCCACTCACACCCTGTCTCTCTCTCTCTCTCTCTTTTTCAAAAATAAATAAACATTTTAAAAAATTTAAAAAAGAAAAAAAAGTGTTTTCAGGACCCCACAGACACAAGTGGGAATCCAGACGTGCCGCCTTCCAGCGGACTGACCCCAGGCTGTTGCGCCTCAGTTTCCCCCCAATGATGCCGGCTTCATGGCCAAAAAGGAAATGAGGCCGTGACACGCGCCTCCTCCCCAGGCCCCTCACCTGCCATCCTGGAGCCCGAGGCAGATGGTCGGATGCACGGCAGCTGAGGGCTCAGCGGCCACGTGGCCCTCGTCTCCGCTCTCCCCCTCCTCCGGCTCGGGAATGTACTCCATGCAGAGCACAGGGGCTGCCAGCGGGAAGGACTTGACCGTGCGCGGCGAGGGCCGGTTCAAGGAGAAGATCTCAACCTGGCCCCCTGCACCTTCCTGCCCGCCCCCAACCTGTGGCAGAGACCCGGAGAGGCCGTCAGGCACAATCACCAGAGCAGGGACGGAGCTGGGCCCCCGCCCTCCCAGCGACGCGCCCCAAACTTCAACTGAGGTTAGGCATCGGGAGGAGCATTCCACCCCCCTCCTGCCCCCACACGTCCTGCTGTCACTGGAGGTCATGCTTCCCCAGTTGCCATAGCAACAAGTTAGTCCAAACGAAATCAGTTAAGGAGCTAAGGTAGACTAAACACCAAGTCAGCTCTATTTCCCCATCTTTAGGGTGAATTTCAACCAACAAATAGTGAACATACATGTGCTCCTTCAAAATGTTCTTCTCTTATTTACCATTCTACTTCTGTGTCACGCACAGTAGGCACTTAATACACACTTGCTGAATGGATGGACAGATGAATAAACGGATGGAAGCAAGGGATAGAAAAGTGGGTAGATAGATGAGCAGATGGATGGATAACTGTATGGATGAGTGGGTGGATGGATGGATGATTACACGGATAAGTGGATGGATAGATGGGTGGATGAGTATATGGCTGGCTGGCTGGTTGGATAGTTAGATGGTTGGTTGGATGGATGGATGGACGGACGGATGGATGGATGATTGGCTGGATGGTTGGATGGCTGGATGGTTGGCTGCATGGTTGGTTAGATGGATGGATGGATGGATGGATGGATGGTTGGATGGATGGTTGGATGATTGGTTGGATGGTTGGATGGCTGGATGAATGGATGGATGGATAGATGGATGGATGGAAGGAAGGATGGAAAGATGGATGGATGGATGGATGGATGGATGGATGGACGGACAGATGGCTAGATGGTTGGATGAATATACCACATGCTAGAAACTGGGGAAACAGTGAGAAACAAATCACCCTCAGAGGACACTTGGGTTGGACTCTCAAGAGTGAGCCAGTGTTCCTGCCTGAGTGCCTAGATACAGGAATAAGCAGGAACTGGAAAGTGGCCAAAGGGGTGGGGAGGTGGAACCCCAGGCAGCCTATGGGAGAGCACAGGCTGCATCACAAGGAGCGTAAGGGGACCTATTTGAATTGAGAGAGGCTTTGCCAGGAATCCCAGGGGAAAAGAGGTGGGTGGGGGTCTCTGCCAGAGATGAGCAACATCCAGCCCTGCTTCCTGACCCCCAGGGTAAAAGACCCTGACATCCAGGTACTCGGCACAGCTTTGTTCGTTTCCTTCGTGGCACATGGCCATTTGCAACAGCCACGCTCACTTCTTCGTCACTTGGTTTTCTGTCGTCCCTGGTGAAGTCTCATGTGCCAACTCTGAGCGCACAGCCCAGCACAGAGGTTCCCAGGAAGACCCTCCTGGATGAAGATGGACCTAACGGGGGCCAGCAGGCAGGCAGCACCCTCCAGCACCCCCTTCCCGGTGCCACCCTCCCTGCTTCTGTCCTGAGGCCAGAATCCCTGGCTGGGTTCAGGAGTGACTTACCCAGAGGTAGCCCTGTGGAAGGGACGTGCTCACCGCCGAGAAACCCAGCAGGGGACAGCTGACAGGACTGTGGACCAGGGCCCCAAGCTGTGAAGACACACAAGGCACACACGTCTGGCAGCAGGATCTCTGTCTGAACCACCACCTGTGGGGTTGTTAAGCCTGCAGATTCCCGGGCCCCATCAGGCCTCAAATGTGAATCCCTGAGGGGGATGGGGCCGGGAAAGCCCCATAGGATCTCCAGGCAGTTCCTATCCACTCACGTTTGACCAGCGCTCTTCTAGAACCTTCTGGCTAGGAGGCGCCCGAATGATGCTCTGGGCCAGCCACAGATTTCTCAGACTAAGCAACGTCCAGATAAGATTTGGTGGAAACCACTGATGCCCACCACCCCCCAATGTCACACATGATTGCCCTAGGCCACGAGAAGATGAGTGCCAGGGCCCAGCCTGCGCCAGCCGCCCTCCTAGGTCTTCCTGAAAAGCACAGTGGAGGAGGGAAGGGGTGCTAGACATCTGGTACCACCCCACTCAACATCAGAACCCCTTGCGGACGAGCTAGACCCGGCCAGTCCGTCTGTCCGGCCAGGGCAGCAGGGTGAGGAGATGGCTTGGCCCTGTCGTGGGCGCTGCTGGAACCCGGGGCCAGCGGGAGGGGAAGGAGGCCAAGAAGGGACAGTTCAAGGGTCCCCACCTGCAACGCGGCCACCACGGGACCTTTGCTGGGCAAGTGCTGCCCTCTGCTGGTGGTGAAGGCCCTGGCCCGCCCCGGCCCTGTTGGGATGTTCGAACAAGATGTCCCATGGTTAAAGGTGAGGAAGCCCAAAGAGGTTGCCTCATCCAGTCCCCTCATTCAGAAGTCAGCACACTGAAGCTCAGGGGGTGGGCATGGGAGGCACATGACTGGCTCAAGGTCACATAGCACGTTAGCAGCAGAGTCAGGGCTGGAATTCAGAGTTCCAGCTCCCTGCCCAATGCCCTTCCCGCTCTGGTTAATTCTACCCAGAGGCCAGGCCGCCCTACTGGAGGCCTGGGCAGTCGCCAGCTCCCACCTCTGCACAGCTGGGAGCTCTAGAGGCTTCCCTCGCTCCGGCCACGGGGGCCCCGGGCCCCTCAGGCCCCTGCTCCCCAGTCCTTTTGCTTCATGGTAGGCCACACCCAGCTGAGGCCGCCCAGCACCCCCCTGCCAGGCTGCTGCTCCCGTCCTCACAGACGGGCCCGGGGCAACCACAGCCCAGGCTCAGACGTTTCCATGGCAACTCCAGGGGGCCCAGAAGTCAGCCAAATAGAGTCCAGGTCCAAAGTGATGGCAAAAACTCAAACGGCTCGTTGGATGGGCAAGGCCCCGGACCCAGAAGTCCCACCTGTGCCAAGAAGCCAGCTCTCCCAAACCACGGTGCCCCGCGCAGCACAGCGGAGAGCGGCTCGGGGCTGGGGAAGGAGACGGGCCGTGGAGGCAGCCAGCCTGGGCTCTGGTCCCAGCTCAGCCGCTACCAGCTGGTGACCCCACAGGCCAGTTCGTCATGCTCACGGAGGCCCTGACATCTCATCAGGATGGTCGTGGGGACTGGAGAGGCAGACAAAAAAGCAGCGGCCGCTGCTGCTTACCAACAACCTCCTGTGCATCACCTTACCTCACGGGCAGGCCCAGGCCAGGAGGGGAGGGCTGGGGCAGGGCTGGGAGGCAGGGGAGTCCTGGCTAACGATGGCCAGGACAGAGGCTCTCGGCCAGCACGCTGAGGCCTAAGCGAGCCTGGAACAGACCCTCTGCAGGTCGGGGCCGCAGCCCCGGCCCCCCCGAGGGGCTACGTCCTAGAGCACCTCAGTGCAGGGGGGCACCCCCACCCCTCTCCCCGAGCCCCTGCCCCCAGGTAGGGCTGCAGCTAACGGTGGGGACACCTTTGCACTGAACCCTCCAGGGACAGGCCCCCAGCCTGGATGGGTGCCGCCGGGGTGACCCCGCGGCCGTGATGCCTTCGGAAACCCTCCAGAACAGACGCCCGTGGGGCCCTAAATGTCCTTGGATCTTTGCTTCCATCTCTTGAACTCTGCACACACGCCCCGTGACAGGCCTGCCAGTGCTCGGCATGAAGCGCGCTGCCGGCCAAGGTGGCATTCCCAGCATCACTCGGCTGGAGCTCAGGCCCAGGGACGCGTGTACCCCAATGACGTCCCCTCGAGGAAGGCCTTGGTGTGGCCCAGCCTGGGCCCCAGCCACCCGCCGGCACTGAAACGCTCCTTCCTTCAGCCCCCATGTCCCCGCTCCTTTGACCCCCACACACGCCCTCATCCTGCTGGCAGGACACAGCACGGACCTCATCCATGCTGGGAAGGGGCTGGGGCCAGCGAGCGTTTTCCCGGACGGCAGACTGAGTCCTGGGCTCCCAGGAGGCCAGCCGCAGAGCCCGAATCCTGGAGAGAGGCGGCGGGCCAGGAGGCCCAGACAGCGGCCAACAGGCTCACATCTGTTGCCACGCTGGTTGGACAAGGCCCTGGCGCTCCGGGCCCCTAATTCATCTGGCCGCCTGCACAGAGCTGATGGGGCGCATCTGCCCGGTCCGGGGTGGGAGGCAGGTGCAGGCGGAGCGGGAGTGGTGTCTCGGGACCCAGCAGATGGCCACACGCAGGTCCCTCAGGAGCTCCACAGGCTCGCCGCCCCCGGAGATTCACTGGGGGTTCTCTTCGCTCCCACAGGGGGCTCCTCAGGAGGTGGCAGGCGGGGGGCTTGGAGGGGGCTTAGGATGCTCCCCAGCCTACACACCCCCAGGCCCCGAGGGCTCCACATAAGGAGTATGAGGCGGATGATGGCTTCCCAGAGAGGTAGGGGTTTCTTTCAGGGGGGCCCTGGGAGCCGCAGCTTGTCCCAGACTTTACTACCCATGAATAGCCTGAGCCCTGGCAGTTGGGGAAAGGGGAAGGGGGGTTGGAAGTCACCCCAGATCAGCCTTCTCCGCAGGAGTCCTAGGACCAGATGAGCCACGGGCAGGGTGGACCCTGAACAGCCTGCACTCCATGGACTCTGCCCTTCTACCCCACCCCTGCCTGGCCCAAAAGGTACGTGAGAACGCCCGCCATGCTGGGAAAGAGCTCACAAGACTCAGCAGGGCCTCCCCATGAATCAATAAATAATCAATCAATAAATAAAGGCCTACAAAGGCTGACTTCCCCAAGCCCTATAGAAATGAACAGCATCTGTCCTTCCCCCCCGCCCCCCCCCCCAGAAATGTTTGGTGGGGGGACCGACGCCAGGGAAAACATCAGCCAAGGCCGTGAGAGGCAGGAAAAGCAGGATGGGGCACGAGTCAAGAAAACTCTCCTTCCCCAGTGGGCGTGGGCAAGCCCTGCCTCTGAGGGCAGCTGGGGGGACCAGAGTTAGCCATGGAGAAGTGCCTCGAACAGAGCCGGGCACGGATGCCTCACGAAAGGGCTTGCCACCATATTGTTGCTGCCGCTGCCCCGGCCGCTGCCCCCCCAGCAGCGCTGGGAAGCTCACCCGTCTCTCTCACTGCGCCCCTAAATCAGGCTGCGGCACGGGGAACACACCCCCATCTCCCGACACCACTTGCGGGTACACAAGCCCAAGACCCGTCACGTCCCTCCTGCCCCCGCGGCCGCCCTCTAAACCCTCATCAGATCAGTCAGCCCTACGCCGGCACACTCCCCAAATGTGTCCCCGTGTCCCCTGCCCACTGCCTCCTCTGGGACCAGGACGAGACGGAGGAGAGTGGGGCCGACACACTCCCACGTCGAAGGGAATATTATATATAACACAGTTTTGGGCAATAAAAATTAATGCCAAAAAACCCACGGTGAACAATCAGTGAGCCTGAAATAAAGACAGCAACGGTCTCTGCCCTGGCACGACTGTGCCTCACCCTAATCCCCGCCTGTCACTCACCCAATAAATGCAGCCAAGGCAAGGTCACAATTTGCTGATTTGCCTTTGTAAGTATTACCTTGAGAATTAGGATCAGGTGAGTTCTCGCTCCCCTTGCCCTAGTCTGGCCCTACCTCCACCTGTACCATGTCCTGCCACAGCTTGGCGGGACACCCCCCCCCCCCTCTCCGGCCGCCAAGGTCCATATCGGTCTGTCTCTTGCCCCCTTCAGGAGCCACAGTTCACAACAGCCAGAGGAACCAGACGATCTTTCCAAAATGTACATCAGATCGTGCCGCTCCCGTGTGGAGCCATCCTTGGGGTTTCACATCCTGAGAATGAAACCCAAACCCGACGAGCCGGGGAAGCTGGCTGGCCCACTGTGCCCACATCAGACTTCACCGCCGGCCTCTCTGCCCGGCTCCCCGAGCTGCAGCTGCCCAGACTGTTCCTCTGGGCTGCCCTGTCTGTTTGGAATATCCTTCCCCTGGGCCCTCAAGGGACTGCAGCCTGCTTGCCGTTCAGGTCTCAGTTTAAAAGCCACCTCCTCCGTGAGACCCTCCCTGCCCCCTCGTCATGGGGCCCCACCTCTATATCCATCACAGCTGACTTATTTTCTCTATAACACACATCACTCTTCTGCGTTTCCCTGTGTTAGCCGGGGTGCCACTGTCTGTCTCCAGGTTAAAAGCCACAGGAGGGTGGAGCCCTTGTATGTCTTGGTCACCACCATAAACCCAGCGTCCAGCACAGGGCCTGGCACACAGTAGGTGCTCAAAAATTATGTACAGAACAGACAAAAGAATGAGTGAATGAATGAACGGACATCTCAAGGGCATGTATGCTTCGTGCCCCAGTCTACACCCCAATGAGCTTGTCTCTTGGGGCTTATGTATCTGGGCCGAGGTCCCAAGCCTGCTCCCGCTCCCCAAAGTTCACATGACCCCCTCACCCAGGGAGGAGGACGGGCAGGGATCACTCCAGATGGAGGGGCCAGGACATCGGGGACGGAAGCCAGTGGAGCGAGCGTCCCGGTGGTTAAGAACACGGGGGCTGGAATCAGGCGAAGTGAGGTTCCAATTCCTGGACCCATCACTACTGGCTGTGTTTTTAGAACTCATGCCGCCTATCTGTGCCTTAGTTTCCTAACCCATGAAACTAATCTAGAAACATCTATGCATGGGGTTCTTACAAATATTAAAACAAGAGAGTGGTGGCAAAGCGGGGGCGGGGGGGGGGCGGAATACAGTAGGTGCTTGACAAATGGAGGCGTGGCGGCTGCAGCCAGAGACCAGCTCCCGGCTGGCGGCCTCATAAAGGGTCCAGCCCACAGTCTGGCAGAGTCCCTTGGCATATTCCGGTCTATCTTCTTAGCTGGAGTCGCACCATCAACTGATGAGATCACTGCTATTTGTTAGCTCAAAACCATGGAATTCTTCCATTCACTTGACCCACAGAAGGCGTCTATCCTCTTTGGTGGGAAAGCGGGCTCCTAGAGCAACAAAAGGTCTTGACCGACTCCGTCAGCGAGAGGTGGGGAAGCCAGGACTGCAGCCGGGCCCTCTCCAGCGGTGGGCACACCCTGGAAACTCTGGTTCCCCCAGGAGCCACCTTCGTGGTGGGCTCGGCGAGATCCATTCCACACTCACCTGCAGGCTGAGGCCCCGGGGGGAGAAGGCAGGAATGCAACAGGCCAGGATGGGGCACCAGAACGGGGCTCTGCTTTTCTTGTCCTCGTCCGGACACAGCCAGCCCGGCTGGTTCTCCTCCCCTACAGCAAGAGGAAGGAGGTGGGTCAAGCCGGTCAGAGCCCCGCAAAGCCCAGGGGGCCACCCCCAGCCCCACGCCTGCCCAGCCAAGAGGAAAGGTGACCTCACTCCATGGTCATGGCTGTGGGTCCCGAACAGCGAGTTGGGGAACCTAGGGCTTGGGTCCTGGAGACGAGAAAGGGTTTCAAAAAGCATGTGACGCTGAGCACAGTCCCCAGGCCCTGCTGCCTTTACTGAGAGCTTCCGGACATGCTTCTAGAGGTGGGAGATGGCCCCCCAAACAGGCTGAAAGATGATGCAGCCATGCCGCTCTCCGCCTGACTCTGAGGATGACGGTCAAGAGGATGACTCCCTCCTGCTCCCTTCGAGACCTACCCTGAGTCCCGGGTGGTCATCTGCCTCCAAGTCCCCAGGCCAGCTGGACACTGAGGCCCCGACCCTGGACTCACATCCGGACACCACTGCACTCACATCTGCCAAACTACACCCTGCCACGTCTCCTCCCCATGGGTCAGGGCTCCCTCACACGGCACCACCTCCAAGAAGTCCTCCCTGACCACCCTGCCTACGATGGCCCCCTCTCTCGGAAACCGGTTCTAAAGACCACATCTTATCTCCCGCATCGCCTCACCTCAATCTAAAATCATTTTGTCTGTTTCCTGGTTTATGGTCTGTCTCCTTAGGTCTCTGGAATGTGACCTCGAGGCAGCAAGACCTGGTCTGTCTTGTTTGCCACGGTCTCCCTGGCACCCAGCGTGCTGGAATGCTCCGCGAGCACGGACGGATGGGGTGAATGAAAAGCGGGGGTGGCGGGGGGGGGGGTGTGAGCGAGCAGGTGGAACTCTCCCTGCACAGGAGCCCAGCCTTCTTTGCACCCCACGTGGGGACAGCAGGGGCACGGTGCTACAGACACGTTCCCAGGCCTCGCTTTCACAACAATCGAGCACAATCAGGATCACGATGTTCGCTTTAAGGGCAATGACGCCGAGACCGACCCTTGAGGATTAGGTAACGGGCTAGGTCACGTGCATGGCCTGGTGGCAGAGTCCAGGTGGGGACCTGGGTCTGTCCGACACAAATGCCATCTCCCAGCAACCAGCCCCCCGCTGAGGCCCGTGGGTATCACCGACCCTGGACAGCCAGCAGGTAGCTCTGCCCTGGAAAGGGAGAGCCAGAGGCACAGGACAGGGTGCCCCAGGGGACAGGGGCCACTGAATGCAACGCCAGCAGGCTGAGCTTCGGGCCTGGGAGGAGAGGTCTTCCGCAGAAGGGTTGTGACGGCGGCCATCCCCACCCACGAGTCCACTCAGTGGCAAGGAGGAAGCTGGAACCCGGGCCCACCCTGGACCAGCCAAGCAAGGGTCAGCTCAGCCCCACAGGGCCCACCAGCCAGACGGGCTTCCCGTGCTCACTACTGTCCCCTACAGTCGTTCCCCCCCCGACAGCCAGAGCCATCTCACTGAGCTTCCACTGGACCTCGCCATTCCCGCATCCATCGAGTCCCATCCACTTGGAGTAAAATCCAACCCTTCCAGAACTGTGAGGACATTCCTTCCCTCCCAGCCTCCTCCCTCGGTCACAGGCTCCACTGCCCTGGGCTCTCCTCAGCAACTTAGACAGGCCCAGGATGTTCCCTCCACCTGGAAAGCTGTCCTCTGCCCTCCAGGCCTGGCTCCTCGCCTCCTGTCACCTTCTGGGAGCAGCCCTAAGTGACCATCACCGTCCCCTGCCCCTCCATCACCTGCCATCTCAGCCCCTGGTCTGTCGTGGCCCTTAACACAGTTTCTGGTGCTTTTACTGACTTGCCTCTTTTTTCCTCTGTGTGCATAAATGTGTGTGCATGCGTGTGTGCACATGTGTGTGCATGCGTGTGTGCACAAGTCTGCGTGCATGTGTGTGTACCTCCATAAGTGTGGGTGTAAGTGCGTGTGTGCATGCGTGAGTGTGTATCTACATAAGTGTGTGCGCGGGAGTGTGTGTGGGAGTGTGTGTGTGCATGCATGTGTGTGCACAAGTCTGTGCATGCTTGTGTACCTCCGTAGGTGTGGGTGTGCGTGCATGTGTGCATGTGTGAGTGTACCTACATAAGTGCGTGTGCGGAAGTGTGTACAGGAGTGTGTGTGTGCATGAGTGTGTGTGCGCGGGAGTGTGTGTGCGGGAGCATGTGCATGAGTGTGTGTGGGAGTGTGTGTATGCATGAGTGTGTGCACAAGTCTGTGCATGCGTGTGTACCTGCGTAAGTGTAGGTGTTGGTGTGCGTGTGCATGCACGTATGTGCGTTGAGTGTGTGCCTACATAAGTGTGTGTGAGTGGGTGTGCGTGCATGAGTGTGTGCGTGTTTGTGTGCATGTGTGCCCACGGGCTCCCCGACTATGCCTGTGTTCTGTGTGAGGTATGTCAGTCGTACCTCAATAAAGTGGCTTTTAAAAATGCCACCGCCACCACAGAAAGGTGGCGTGCCGCTGGGACGAGGTGGCAGGAGGCGATACTCGTCCAAGACATCCATAAATGTCGGGCATCACCACATGCGCAACCTGCTTCGCCAGAGGCGCCAGCCCTCCGCACCACTGGCTCCTGGAGGCAGAGTCCAACGAAGCCGGATCCCGTCACTGAGGAGACGAGGCCACCACGGAAAGGCCAACTACGGCATGGCCCAGGCACCCTCACAACAGTGCCGACGTGCCCCACACGGCACGGATTACAAGGCTCTGCCCCGCATGAGGCTTCGTTTCGTCCTTGGGGCCGCCGGGAGTGGTCGGTGATAGCGTCCCCCTCCTACCCCGGAGGGGACCGGAGGCCAGGAGGAGAAGCCCAACGCTGGGCCCAGGAGGCAGGGGACCGACCAGCGGGGGCACCCTGCCTGGGCCTGCAGCACGGGGTGTGACAGCCCAGACGGCCCGCCCTGCGGGGCAGCCGCCTCCGCCTCCACCTCGGCAGGGGACATCACCACACGGCGTCCTGGACAAGCCCCCAGCCGGCGACAAACGAAGATAGATGGGACTCGAGTCCGCCCTGCTCTCAGGGAGCTTAGGGTCACGCAGCCCCCCGCCCAGGCCCCACAAGAGCCCTGCAGGCCACTCAAACCGACCGCCCCCCCCCCCGGGGGGCTCCAGCTCCTTCCGGGAGCCCAGCCTGTGAACATCAGCCCTTCCCCCCACGCCCACGGCCCACTGAGTCCCGGCAATTTATTATTATATATTTTTTTAATGATCTGACCTTCTCCTTCCAGATGGTGCCTTCCCTGCCTGCGATCGCGAACGTTAAAAGAAAATGGAGTTGTTGCTCCCCATCTGCCACTGCCATTGTTCCTGTCACAAAACCAGAGCGGCTGAGACCAAATTAGAAGGCTGTTGCGGTCGAAAATTGAGAGCCCGCTCGGGATAAGTGACATTAAGAACTGGCAGCATCGGCAAGGCCTCGAGTTCCAACTGACATTAAGTGGGGGCTTATTTAGAGCCCAGCTCTGTTTGTCGGCACCCACCGAACACGAGAGCACCCCAGGGGGCAGCGGGGGGGGGGAGCTCCGGGGCTGGAGGCCACGTCCCTTTCCACTCCCCCCACCTCACAACCCCACCCGCGGCTGGAGGCCGACTCTGCCAGGAAGCCCCTGGCAGATCCCCCAGCCGCCTCTAGCTCGCTGTGCGACACAGAGCAGACACTTAACCTCTCTGAGTCTGTGGCCTCATCTGGAGGATGGGGGAAATGCCTCCAGCCATTCAGTGTCATCGTGAGCACTGGGAAGAAAGGATTTGATGGCTGGCATGTGCGAGGCCCGCAGGAAATGAAGCTCACGGAGATCACCGTCCCCGAGGGGAGGAGTCTAAGGGTATGCTCGAGGGCGGTCACCCCGTCTCCACCATGCTGAGCCCCCGGCCCCGCCCTGCTTCTCTACCCCAACCTGCCCCCAAAGCCTTCCTGTGCTCATTCCCAGCGCTGTGCCTATCCTGCCACAACTAGCCCCAGGGGGACAGGCCGGACCACCCTTCTCTACCTTCCAAATCCGAGGCTGCCCTCGAGGCCCTCTCATGCCCCCGGTGCCACGGAGATGCCGCTGGCCACAGTCACGGACGTGGGGGGCCGGTGGGACCTCGGCACCCCTCTTTTCCCAATACCCCCCATCGTGGAGACGGAGAGACACTGGTGCCCCGAGAGGCCAGGTGAATGGCCGTGGTCGGCCAGCTGGGCTAATACCCCTCCAGAGGGCAGACCCGAGGGCTGGGGCAGGTCCCGGCGCCCGCCTCTGCACTGGTTGAGGGTTAGTGGAGATGAGAGTTCAGCACGTGGCCTGGGCCACGCTCAGGATCCTTCACTGGCTCGCAGTCAGGTGGAACAGAGGCCGGGTAGAAACCAGATCAGGATGCTGTCCAGCTCTCACTGCCACGAGGAACAGCCGCCCGTTCCATCCAGAGTTTAAGTTCCACGCACCTGGCCCTGATGTTCTGGAAATGCGGCCCCTTCTTCCACCTGCCTGCTTCTCTCCCCATCACTCATCAGCTCTGGTCACCACAGGACCTTTGCACTTGCTCTTCTGAAGCCTAGACTGCTTCGGCTTCGGATGTCGCCTCCTCAGAGGCCCTCCCTGACGGCAGCCCTGGCCCCCAGGCTCGGTGACCGTCATGCCGCCCAGCTGTGTCCCCTAAACAGCACCGCCTCCCCCTGTTGATTTGCCCCTCGTGTAATATCTGTCTGCCCCTCATAAATTATAGGTTCTGTCCGTGAGGACGAGGGCTGGAAAATTAAGCAACTCAGACACAGCGAGGAGTGGGGGCCCAGGCCGTGCCTTCGGGGATGTGTCCCTGAAAACCTGGGGGCAGCCGGCAGCCTGCCCAGCCCGGGTCCTCTGGGAAGAGGAGAATAAGGACTGTCGTAAGAGAGGCCCCAGGGGTCTGTGGGGTGGAAAAGCCACGAATACAGCACTTGGAGGGCTTCAGGTGAGGGGACATGGGAAGGTGGAACCAGAAGCCCACAGCCACGCCTCTCCCTCCTCTGGGGGAAAGAGGTCCCAGCTCTTTTTTGGAGACTTTATGAATAGGAAACTAATTGGCAGAGGGTGGGAAGGTGTCCCACCCCCGTTCTGTGCTGAATCGTATGCGACCTCAACCCGGTCACTTCCCCGTCTAGGCGACGCGGGTGCCCCCCCGTCCTCAGAGTTTCTTCCACGTGCCAGGTGCTGGCCTCCCCGAATAGGCACAAGAGCCCCGTGGGGGCACTGGCTTTATCCCCCCTTTCTGGTGGAGACAGGCCTCTGAAGGCTCAATCATCGGCCCAGGATCGCAGAGCTGGTAAAGGGACAGAACTGGGAAATGAAAGCCAGGCAGCCCGGATCCATTTCACGAGGCCCGAAGACCCCAAAATGTAAGAGGGGACAGGACCACGGGAGCTCTAGTCCAAGTTACCAGGAGGGAGCCTGCCTTTCCCCAGAGCGCACGGCACAGTGGGGGCCCCAGCGGGATGTGAAACGGGTCCCCAGATGCCCCGGGGCACCCTGGCCTTTCCTCCCAAGGGGCAGAACTGACCCCCCCCCCGCCCACGCTGAATCCCAGGCACCCCCATTCCGGTCCTCTCCTTTCTCAACGTGGTAGTCAGGAAAAGAGGAAGACGGGGGGGGGGGGGGGGATTAAAGGAATCACATCCTTTGTGAATAAATGTTTTTAACATATTCTATTACTAACAGGCTCGTATTATCCCCCACCCCACCCAACCAGGCACTGCAGACAAAAAAAAAAAAAAAAAAAAAAAAAAAAACTGGAAAAAAAAAAGGAAAAAATTATTAAAGCCCCAGGGGAACCCAGGCTTTCAAATAAGATTTCAAATGACTCT